CGGCTCTCCGCGGGAGGCACCGCTTGGGGCCAGCCTGCCCCCGGGCCGTACAGCGCGTGTCTCCTTTACTCCAGTCTCGTTGGGAGAGAGGAGGTCCCCGAGCCCGGCTGGGAGCCATGGCCGCGGTAGTGGCCAAGCGCGAGGGGCCGCAGTTCATCAGCGAAGCGGCGGTGCGGGGGAACGCCGCCATCCTGGACTATTGCAGGACGTCTGTCTCGGCCCTGTCGGGCGCCACGGCGGGGATCCTCGGCCTGACCGGTCTCCTTTACTCCAGTCTCGTTGGGAGAGAGGAGGTCCCCGAGCCCGGCTGGGAGCCATGGCCGCGGTAGTGGCCAAGCGCGAGGGGCCGCAGTTCATCAGCGAAGCGGCGGTGCGGGGGAACGCCGCCATCCTGGACTATTGCAGGACGTCTGTCTCGGCCCTGTCGGGCGCCACGGCGGGGATCCTCGGCCTGACCGGCCTGCACGGCTTCATCTTCTACTTCCTGGCTTCCGTCCTCCTCTCCGTGCTCTTGGTGTTAAAAGCCGGACGGCGATGGAATAAGTACTTTAAATCCCGAAGGCCGCTTTTCACGGGGGGGCTTATAGGAGGGCTCTTCACATATGTCCTGTTCTGGACTTTCCTGTACGGCATGGTTCACGTCTACTAAAACAACTAGGAGCCACATTAGCTGCAGTGGTTTTTAAGGAAGCAGGAGAACTGTTGCCAAAAGTCATCTACACAATTAGGCCAGCTTACCTTTTAAACCGTTGTTCATCACTTGTGTTGTTAATACCGTCAGTAAATTATGTCCAAGTATGAATGAATCGGTAGTACTGTTCTAATTAAACTGAATGTGAAACACCACTTGGATGCCTCCCATGAATATTTGTTTGGTGGTTAAGGAATAACTTCTCTCCCTAATTGCAGGCACAGCCGTGGGTTTTGGTTCATGTAGTTCCTTGTATCCTTTGCGTTTTGGGTAAGACACACCAATTACAATCCCTTCTAGATTTGCTGCCTGTGCCTACACACAAATGCTGAGGAAAGCAGCGTGTAACACAGCACTCTTAAAAAGTCATCCACTGACACAAGGCCACGCTGCACAGTAGCATGTAATTAGGTGTATGTGAAGGTTTGGTACAGAAATGTAATTGAGTTGCTAGTGCCACAGTTGCTATATGTACACGCTGTCAATAAATTACATCATTGTCACGGCTACTCTTCACTGGCATATACAAAAGTCGATAAGTAATGCACTCACAAGTCAAACATTTCGCCCCTTTTTAGTACCATTGTGTCCAATGAAACACAGACAACCAAGTGTGTGCAGCGTCTTGCTGCCGGCTCGCCCAGTCTGTACCGAGCACGCTTGTAAGTGGGCTGGCATTGTCTGTAACTGAACAGTGCGGTGTGGTTCCGTATGTCTCTGGCAGGAACAGAAAGGAAAACTCGATCACCCACTGTACAGGTAATATCTTTGCTACAGACCTGCTTGTGCAAAGTTAAGTGTTTAATGGACTTGCTTAGCATAAGTATGTATCGCAAAGAAAAGGTGGTGTGTGCAACCTAAAAAACACACTGCACAGTAGAGTCTTGGAGAGCATTGCCCTAAAGTGACAAATTTTATTGCTGTACATTAAACACGAGGAGAGAAAAAAAAAAACCAAACTCAAAGAAGCTGGTTACGTTTTATCAACAGCAATGGTTGTGGGAATTGTGTTAAACAGAGGGTATAAGGAAGGGAAATATTCTAGGGACTTCTGGGGGCCTGAAGCCCCTGAAGACTTGAATTCAGGAAATCGCTTTGGTCATCTAACAAGAGGATGTTGTTTTGTCAAGTTAAAACATTCATTTCAGTAGAGCAGGGTCAGCTTTATGTGTTACGATGAGCTACTTGGTCTCCATGAGTTGTGCCTTGGCCTGATGTCACGTGTGGCGTTCACCATGTGCTTCACCATCTAGAAATTATTCAAATAGAATTAAGCTCTGACAGTCGAAAGCCCGTGCTGCCGTATTTCTAACAGGCCTGACCAGCGCAGTTATACGCGCAGCGACTCGCGTTTGCCTAGAGGAGAATGAAGAGAGGAGGCTTTGGATGTGGGTATAGCATCAGAGGTACGCAGCTTATCCTAAATTATTTTAACTCCACTGTTTAAATCTCTTTTCTAGCTCAATGTTTGACTCAATAATTACTTGCATCTGACCAGAAGCAGAGGGAGTGGATTAGACTGGGGGGGGTTGCTATCAGTGACTGGATTTGGAGGTTGCCACTGCTAACAGAGGTGAGTTTTAATTTAGAATCAACCTGTACCTCGGAGTAACCACCTTAAAGAAGTTAAAGCACAGGTGAGTGCAGCTTGCTGTTCCTATTTGTGCAGAACACTCGCTGACAGCGCGCTCTCGTGCCACATTCCCTACAGCCGTCCTAGCCGTATGTAAGGGCGCTGCAGCAGGCGTCCTTTAAATCTTGATATTCAGAGAGTGCACAGAAACACATGATCTTTATCATGACGACTCCTGATCAATGGCGACGTGGCAGCATTCACACAACACTGATCCGTTTGTACCAAGCCACGGTGTGGAAGCTTTAAATGAGGCAGGAATATTTGTTCACCTGCTGTCTTCAGGAGCTGGTGAGCTTGCTCCTGTCAGCTCAAGCAAATGCAAACTTTAAACGATGATATTCTATAAGCACTTTGCTGAGATTAGTTACATCCCCACACGAGCATAAATTCACAAAATGGGCTGCAATGAGATGTTTCTCTACTGAGAAACAAAGAAGCACTAGCAGTTCTTGGAAGTTACCAGAGTGTTGAGATAGCAGACATCCGTCTTCAAAATCTTCCTCCTGTTGGTACATTTGGAAGAACCTGGCAAAGTCTGGTTCACCTGCTGGAGCTCCCCTTTTCAGTTTCTGCAGTACAGTTCAGGGTGCAATGAAAAGCGGCAGAAGCATTAAGTCCCCCATCCAGATCTCTCCCCCCCATGAGCAATTGGGAAGTGATGCAGAAAGGACGCTCCCGAGCAAATAAACGAAACCAGCCACTGAACAAAGGAGGGAGAACCCAAGATGATTGTCTCCGTGCAGATACTCCCAGTGCCACGTTGCTTTTCAGTGCCTTAACCCCACTATCAACCACAAAAACCTCTGTCCCTGCCTCGCTTCAACATCCTCCTCTGCCGCTACCTGTTCTGTGCTCCGAAACGTCGGTTCTCTAGGCCAACTAGAAATGGAGGCGGTGGGCAGCGGGTGAGGTAGCTGGGCCCCAGCCGTGGCTGAAGTGATTCCCGGTTCAGAGCTGCGGCGGGGCCTTCTGCTGTTCCTGAGAAGAGGGGAGCACCTTGTTGCAGCTGTTGCGAAGGCTTTTCCTGGAGCAGCACCATTTCTAGCCCTAACGGTTACACACGCACCACAATAAGAGCATTGCCCCCGCTGTGACCCAGGCCCAGGCAGCACCGGCGTTGTAGGATAATGAGCCCCTCTCCCCCGGGCTCCCAGAGCTGCTGAAACGCTGCGTTTCATTGCACTTCCCGACAAGAGCAGTCCTGCTGCTTTACTTCTAATCTTGCAAGGAACACAAGCGAGAGCTGGAAGCGGTGGCCACAAACCCGTGGAGCCGGAGACAGGTTGAATCTCAGCCTCAGCTCTCCTCAAAGTGCCAGTGGGGTTTCACATCACGGCTCTTCCGCACATGGAAGCAAAGCGCAGCCACAGGATAACGCTGGCTATTGACGTAGGTACAGATAGAGCTATCAACAGATATAAAAACATTCATTTGGTGCCTTCTTTTTGCTTTTATAAAATCCTTTTATAAATCCATCGTGACAACACTGTTGAAAGCTCAGGATACCAGAGGACATCTCAGGGAAAGAAGGGCGGTCTTTAAAGGGCATTTTTTTCCTCTGGGGATCCCGATAATAGAGAGTAGATCTGATCTGGGGTATCTCCACCTCCCAGTCCCGGTGTGATTTCACACCTGTGTGGTTCTCCTGGAACGCGAGTCCAGCTGGCAGCCCCATGGCCGTGCCTAGAGCCCCCCGAGCTGGTCAGGGCTCTGATTCCCGTTCAGCGTAGGGCTAGATAACGATTTCCTGGAACTGGACCTGAGGAAACAAGCAGAGGTGACAGACGAGGCAAGCAGGCTGTTTCTGGTCCAGGAAGCAATGCGGGCAAGAGGCTCCCAGCCAGACCTGTCACCCCTTACACAACAGCCCTCACCCTCTGTACAGATACAGCCCCGCTTCCCGGTTTCCTGAGGCTCTGGAGCTGCCCCAATTCCACCCGCAGTCACCATGGACCGACAGCGCAAGGCCATTTATAGTCCAACCATGACACAGCAGCTTCCTTTGCTCCCGAGCTCACTGCAGCAATGAATTACGGAGGGAGGGAGGAACTTGGCTAACCTCATTTGGAGGAATTTACTTTCCTGGAATTGGCCTTTGGTGGCCATTAGTATTTACTGCGTTCCTGTATCTCCTATTTCTATTAGTCACAACAATAAAGCCATTACATTTAAACACAAAAGCCAAGCCCACTTACTTCACTTCCTCATACTTTTTGCCTCGATAAAAGTTACTCTTTTTAATCAGATACAGCAGCACCAGGTCACAAAAGAAAGCTCCCTGCAAACAGAAAGAACTTGTGTTTTATTTTCGGAGTAGAAGAGGAAGCGTTCTGATCTAATTAGCAATGAGCATTCATTAAAGAAGAATAACGTGTAGGGGCTGTGTTTTCCTTCATACTCCATGTTATCTTAGGGGTATTTAGACTACAAGGTACATTAACAAATGCCTTTAAGACAGGACACAGACACTTCACTGAGCAGCCAGAGTAGCAAAAACTCTGCTGAAGAAGATATAAACCAACCGTCCCAACCAAGGGATCGGGGTCCCAATACGTTACTTTAAGAAAATACATTCACTTACCGCTCCCATGAGAGCAAGCCCCGAACCGATATTGATAATGGTGGGAATGATGTTAAATTTCCCTGCCTAAAAGAAAAAAAGTCATGAAGTACTTGGTGAAAGAACAACCCAAAAATCAAACTTTGGGGTGTGGTGTTACACGGGGGAAGCTACCAGTGCCTGTGGGTGCGTTTTGTCAGCAACAAGCAGGCACGACCATAGATCTGCAGTGAACAATCTTGGAGGCTAAAGGTCTGCGTGTGTCTCAGATCCAACTGTTCGTGGCTACGTTTCTGCGCTTGTGTCATCCCTGGATTAGGCTTCTTTTTTCTGCAGTACATATGCATGGAAAACAAGTCTCTGGGGCATATTTACTTCCATTGGACTTTACATGAGCCTGGTTTTAGGTAGAAGAGATGCAGACTCATCCACACTCCAGGTCATCTCCTTTCTCATACAGGGTTAGCTCCACATAGATGAATGGCAAGAGCCCTGTCCTATGACAACCCAGAGAGGCTGTTCTCATCCCAGAGCTGCCTCCCCACTGAGAAATGTCTCCCCACTTCTTCCTCTCCAGCCTCAGAAACACTTGAGCCCGGGAACTCACCTTGCCATTCACCATCACATCAAAGCGGATTCCATACGCTTTAATGAGTGTCCGGTAGTCAACCCCCTCAGCATCCCGGTAATATTTGGCAAACCTGGAATGCAACAATACTGATTTTAACTCCATAATCTGCCCACACACACAAGAACCCACCTGAATTCACCTGTCTCTTCAAATGGATCTATTCCCCCATCAAAACCAGCTCTAGCTTGCCATGAGCATGGCTCCCGCCCTCCGCTGAAGCAGCGTGCTTGGCTGGGGCAGTGCCTGGCACAGTCCGACCTGGTACTGCTTCACTGCCAGCCTCCAATGCCTGCAAGTCAAACCAGCTCAGCCCGACTGCGGTACCGCGTCGTATTCTCCTCTTTACTTACCTGAAGTTGTACCCAGAAGAGATGGACTTTTCTGCAAACTTGTTATCCAGCCGGCTAAAAGAATAGTGAGGATTACATTCAGAAGGGGCTTTATCAAGATCACAGTTCCATTCAATCTGAATTCCTATCACACCACCCTTAATGAAAGAGAGAGACAGTGTGAGTTTTTTTAAAGCTTAGTTCAATTAATTTGTCTTCAAATTTGTCAGATCCTTGGGCAAGTTTTCCCCAGGGACAAGAACAGCTGCATTCTGGTCACAGACACAAGCACACACACTGCTGGATGGGCGAAGTTCATGCTTGTGGTATTAGTCACATCACACACAACCCTAGCTTTCCCTGTGCTGGTATCCTAGGAGGAGATTTCTCATCCCAGGACACTGATTTCGTTAATTTAAGTGGCTGTAACATATTTCAGTGGAGAAGATGCTCTTTTATGCAGGGCTGAGGTTCACAAGTGCAGAAGCCAGCACAAAGCCTGCACTCTCTCACCCTGTGCTTCCCGGGACGCCTCAGACTGGCTCCATCTTCCCCCCTGTGCTTTGCACACGGGGTCGCAGCCTGTTTGGTGCTGCAGCCCTGGCTCTTCATGCAGAAATGTGTCCGTTTCCCACAGGGGAAGCCTCCCGGGGCGTTCTCTGAGCAGAGGAGCCCCACTGGCCTTCCAGAGTCCTGGGTTTAAACCAATGGTGTAGTAATGTTGAAATTAAACAAAGAAACCCTGCTGGCAGAGCAGCAGTTTGGGCAGCCCTGAATAACAGATAACTGACCCAACCATCTCTTCCAGAGGACCTACATCGCCCTGCCTCTCATTCCCTGGGGACAGGATAAATGGGACCAGTGTGATTTTAAGAACCAGCATCTCTCCACTGCACCCTGGACAGGAGGCAGATCCCCGGGCAGTCGCCAGCGGCTCTCCTCACGGCCACCCAGCGAGCGGTACAGCCAGCGGGGAAGCCACACGAGCCCGAGGGGCACTCCTACCTCCGAGGCCATTTCCTGGAAGTCGCTCCCAGCCCACCGGACGATGTTCCCCAGGAGGAAGATGGGGCAGTAGGGATGCTCTGTGCTGTAGTGGCAGCTCTTCAGGTAGGACTCATTGTTGGTTGCCAGCACATTCATCCTGCATGTAAGGAAGAGGGAAATCCACCTTGTCTCCTTCTTTGCTTGCCTGCACAGCCTACGCCACCAAGACTGCAGAGACAAGAGACTTCTCCAACACCCCTCGTGCACAACAGAAACAGCACCTTGCCACCAGCCTTGTCACCCTGCGAGCCTCTCCACTGCTGGCCCAGGGAAAGCAGTCTGCTCCCACAAAAATGACCTCCAGGCCAGACAGGGACAAGGCCAGCTGAATCCAGGCTCAAGAAAGGACTCACAGGGAGCGGGTTGCCAGAGTGCTCCAGGGCCACCTGGTTTTCTCAAGGAAAAAAAATCAAGATGCTAGAAATGTCTAGCTGAGCCTGGGAGAATAGCAAGAACACACTCCTTTCTACACTTCTTTATTTTGTTCATATTGTAGCAGCAAATGCAAACAAATATTTTTAAATTTGCATTTTCCCAGCCTTGTCCAGGCACCTCCATTTTTATGGAAGAAGAGGAATATCTGGGAGCAGAAGCAGCTCAGGAACCTGACTATGCACTGGCTGCTGGACAGATCCACCTGCCTTAGAAGCTCTGGTGCATCCCATGCTGCAGGAGCCATCGCAGACCTCGTGTGGTGAAGGACAGCTTTATCCCAGTTGCTCTCTGAGAAGCTCCAAGCCCATTATCTCCTTGTTCCCACACAGCCTGCAGCCAAAGGCCTCTCCCTGTGCCTTAGAAGAGGGAATTTCTGCCTCCCCACCCCAACCCACAGGCAGGAGAAGGACAGTGAAGCAAACCGAGGCTATTGGTTCTGTGATGGAGAGGACGAAGGCATCTCCGAGCACCTGCACTTACTTGGAGAACTTAAACTTGGGGAAGCGGATTGAGTTCTTGATGTAAACAGTGAAGTTTTCTGCACTGGCGAGAAGCGGTTTCCTGGAAGAGAAGGGTTTGTTGTCTGTTTCACGTTTGTACCCTGCCCGCTTGTTTAAACAGGAAGCGCCACTTTAGAAACAGCTGGGTTTCATCCCATGGTGTTAGGCCAGCCGCGCCACTGTGCCCACGCTGCCAGCAAGGAGTTGGTGAGGAGCCTGCAGGTTGAGGGGAAGCCCTGAGAGCTGGAACAGCCCTGGGACAGCCAGTGAGCCAAGGAGTGGGGCGCAGAGGGCCCGTCCTGCCAGGGAGCCATGCAGAGCTCCCTCCTGCACGGGAACAGCCAACATTCAAGCAAGCGTCCGAGCAGAGAGAACCCAGAAACCGCCCTGAGTAACACACAAGCCAAGCAGCTCAAGCTTGGAAACAGCATAGGACGGCCACGTACTTGGGCTTGGACCTTTTCTCCACTGGGCACCAGGCCAGTATCTCACAAGTCCTTCTGATGCTGTCTCTGTCTTTCAAACAACGGCCAGTCTTAACCCCTGCAGCACAGACATCACAGAAAAGGTCAGGCAGAGCAGCCACCTCCTCTCCTTGCCTACAGGGCACATCAAGATCAGATGCTTTTCACTGCCACCCTAAGCCCTCCTCCCTGCTGTGAAAGGGTCTCTCAGCTGGAACAACCACTCTCTTGTTGCTTCTCTGAGCAGCCCTGGGTGCTTTGGCCCAGTCACCACAGAGCTGTAAGCAAGGCAGCAATCTTAATAAAAGATAGTAAAGAAAAGAAAGTTCTTGCCGCTCTCTGTCACCAGAGATCTCTGGGGTTGTAACCAGGCTGATGCCTCTGAAGGAACCCGCTTCTACAAGAAACAGTACAGGAGGAGAGACCCTTCCCTTACCATTGCCAGCCACCACTGTTTCCCCTGCCGGGCAGTCCTCGTCCTTGTAACACAGGGCATCAGGAATGCTGACACTCTGCAAAGTGGAATAGGACAGAAGTGAGACCTGTGACCGGACACGAGACCCAGAGGGGTAAGAAAGTCCTGCTGATGTGGGGTGAATCCTCTGTAGGATGGTGGACACTGAAAACGTGCAGCTGAAGTGGTAACTGCAGGTCATGTGCAAATAGCTCGACAGTATCACACCACGAGCAACACCATGGTTCAGCTACGCCATCCTGCTTTTGGGCTCTGCTCAGTCTGGAGAGGGACAGGCTGTGGAAGAACCCAGGCATCACCCACCACTCACCAAAACCAAGCAGGAGGCCACAGTACTTCACCTTAAGAGATAACCCTACCTTTGATTTAAGCTACAAGCACCCTGAGCTCAAAATTACCCTTCTCTTGGCTGGCCGCCAGGTTTACACAGCCGCTAGAGGACAGCCGCGTCCTGAACAAGCAAGCTGTGCTCTCGGCCTGGGCTACCCCTCTGCTTGTGCTATGAAAATTTAATCTCTGCTACATGGAGACAACACTCCCTGGGCAGCCAGTGTCCTCCTCCCCCAGGCTCCAGCCCATTCTGAACCACGTCTCCACAGAGGACTTTTCAACATGATACAGAAAGACCTCATGCCTCTGACCCGTAAGGCTCGTTCTGGAAGGTACCAAGCACCTTCCCGTGTCCTGAAGGTAACGAAAGCCTGAATGTTCAGCCCTTCCCAGGATGGGGCTCTTAGAAAGTCTCCTCTAACTGTAGCTAGACTGAGTCACCTCACAGTTGTTTTCCCATGGCCTTTTCTGACCCTGAGCAATCACTGTTCTGGTCTCATCTCCAGCTGGGCAGATGTCCAACACCTTCAGCTAGAGTCAGCAAGACTCTACATGATCAGTGCCTCTGGAAATTAAGACAGCTGAATCTCCCAGGTTTGCAGTAACCAGTCTGATTTTCCCAACTGAGATATTACACTACAGAGAAAAACCATTCGCCTTTCATCCCTCCCGTGTTCGTTGCTCCCCAGGTGTCCTCTGTCAGTTCTTACCCCAGTTTTGTAGGGGTCTGGGGGCCAAGGGGCTCAGTTCTTCCTACCTCAGGACACGTGGCTTGCCTCTGGTTTGGGGTCACAATCAGATTCGTCATGACAAAGAAGACGTTTTCACCCTAGAATAAACAAAGGAAGGCAGGAAGAGTTAGAAAACCTGTTTTACTCTTAAAGTACCTGTTACCAGGAGGATGGAGTTCTCTCAGCGCCCTTTGTCTGGATATTTGTTTGGATGAGGTTGGCGGGTCTCTATGGCTTAAGGGGTTCTGCATCAGAGATTGCGTTAATTTGGTGAGCAGACTGCTGAGCCTTGCCTTGCTGGCTGCTCGGCAAGTGCTTGTCCTCCTTTTCCATATGGACACGGTGCCTGATCAGGGATCAAGGCCCCGTTGCGCTGCAGAGCTGTGGTGTTTGCTCTCAGCCAGGGTCAGGCTGGCCGCCCCAGCTGCGCTGTTACAAGCCCGAGCTCACGGAGCAAGGCAGCAGGGCACAGCGCAGGAGCAGATTTAGTGCAACACTGCGGACCTGCGATAAAACAGAACAGAGCACTTCTAGCACGGCTGTAACAGAGAGAGTACAGATCCCTTTATCGAGCCATTGGGATGACTGTCTGAGACATGCAAGGAGAGACTTGACTGCAATTTCATCCCTAAAATCCTTATTTCTGGCAGTGTAGTGTTTCCTCTGTATTTAGGCAAAGCCACAATATGCATAGCTGACTCCTGTTGTAAAGCCTTCCTTTCTTTGCACGTTTACAGCTTCCATTTGGTCCCTTCTCCACATATAGCAAAAAGTTTAAAAAATTAACTTCTCCCCTGAATGGTTTCCCCTTAACAACCAACCACCAAAGCAAACCACAGGAAAAACAAGCCTGAAGACAGTTGTACAGTCAGCAAGAAGGGCGAGAAAGCAGCTTACCATGGCACTACAGATGGAGGCTGGTTTGTCACTCAGAAGTGCAATGAATGCCAAAATAAACCATGAGCTTCTACCATTTCTGCTCCGTACCGTGCGGACGTGGGAAAGGGAGGAGGGTCAGCACCAGGCTGCAGCTACAGAAACATGGGTTGTCTCTGGGGAGCCCAGCTCTCATCACACTGAGAGGGCGCACATAACCATTACAGCCAGCCCCCGGTCCTGGCGTGAGGCAGGGCAGCCCCGAGCATCTCGGACAAAAAGTCCTCACCCACGACAGGAACCAGCAGTGCGTCAAGCCCTGCTACCTGTAACGCTGGTTGCTTGTGTCAGTGAGCATCTGATGATAAAATACCTGATCAGGAGCAAACTCTGGACCCCTGACCCCACAAGGCTGCTCTGAACCACAACAGGGAACAAGATGTTTCTGCAAACTTGTCAGAGAACAAGCCCCAGAAAGCAACGAGTGAAGGATTCACCAGGTGAATCTCAGGTCTCTCCAGCACAAACCAGCCCACCCAGACCCACCAACAGCACAGGGCTCTCCCTCCAAAGCAAAATAAGAGATTATGCAGTAGTTAGCAGAGCAAGTCACTTAATGCACTCGTAGCAGGCATTCAGATACTCCTAAAAGGATTCACCCGGTGAATCCTTGCTCTACATTGAGCTTAACCCCAAAATGCCACTCATTCCCCCTGTCCGAGGGCATTCTCAGCCCTCAGTGGTGAATTTCAGCACACCGAGTGCCTGCCATTTATTCCGGAGTCTCTCAGAAACCCCCTTCCACCACACAGCCCTGCCTGTTGCACAGAAAAATTGGCGATCTCAGGTTTCCGCCCATGAGAGCGGAGCTCGGCGCTCTCTCCTCTGGCTCGCTCTCCTTCCCTCGCCGTGCTTTGCGTGGGGTGTGTTCACCACACGTCCCAGCAGCGCTTCGGGACACAGGAACGTCTGTTCTCAGCAGGAGGGGCACGTCGGTCCGCAGCTGCACTGGTGGGCTCAGGAGAGCTGCCCGCTCTCTGTGGGGGAAATGGGGTTTCTCCCAACCCTCACTGCCTCCTGCTCCACTACCTGGGTCTCTCCAGCACAAACCAGCCCACCCAGACCCACCAACAGCACAGGGCTCTCCCTCCAAAGCGAAATAAGAGATTATGCAGTAGTTAGCAGAGCAAGTCACTTAATGCACTCGTAGCAGGCATTCAGATACTCCTAAAAACCCACATGGGACACATCTCATGGCTGACCTGAGACATTCAGCGGATGAACAGTCATCAGCACACAGAGCAGGAAAGCTCGTGAGATGTCTACGTTTGCATTCACAGTCCACAGAAGTTGCTGAGTTTCACTGTGAGCCCAGGGTCTAACATCACCGTGGCTGATGGAGGCTGAGGTACACTGGGGCAGACTGCAGTAGTGCTGGATTCAACGTTGTAGACTGATTGCCCAGTCATGTTTGGCTTCATGATGCCATAGCCCAGACATCTGTGCTGCAGAGCACACCAGCCCAGAGGCAGAGACAGCTATCTTTACCCAGCACACCACACCACAATGAGCCAACAAGTAGTAACGAGAACATTGAGTCACAGGAGAAACCTCTGACAAGCTAAAATACTCGTCAGCATCACCATTTCATTTCTGGGTGTGCACACCAGCCACCTGCTAAGTGTCCCAGGGCTTCCACACAGCTTGAACACGAGGCACTGCAAGCAGGCTGCCGGGCCTTCCTGCTCCACAGCACGGGTTGGGCTGAGACCGACAGCTCGCAGTGAGGCTTTGCGTTGAAATTGGCGGAGATGCAGAGCACAGATTCATAGGTCTGAGTAAACACGGGCTGCAGCCGGAGGAAGGTGAAGTTTTATTCTTATGTACAGACAAGTAAACTGTTCAATTTACAGCTTTCTGCCCCCTGCCAGCACAGGGCCCTGATTTTCCCCTCACACCTTTCCATGCACAGGCGGTAGACACTAGCAGGGAAAGCACAAACAGCCGCTGGCAAGCAGAGCGGGGCAATTTCCAGCCTGGTGCCAGGCCACATCTGCTGCCACCTTTTCCCCGTAAGCATCAGTTATGCACCTCACTTTGTTCAAGCCAAGGAAGCAGCAAGGCAGGTTTAGCCAGACACATTTCAAGCAACCCTCATCACTCACATTGCATCACATTTTCTTTCCATCTCCCACCCGCTCCGGGCTGCCCCGTGCATGCCTGCTCTAGCCCAGGAAAGGAGGCAAGCAGACGCTTTGCTCAGCTGAGCAGTCCCACTGAAGTCCACAGGACCTCTGCTTGCAAAACTCTGCTTGCCAGGTATCATGGACCTTTGCGAGAGAGACAAGGCTGCTTTGACATTTGCTGGAAAGACCAAAGAGAAGGCACAGCATTGCTTTCTTGTAGCCCACCTCCTGCTTATTCATAGGAAAGACCTGGATACAGCACTTCAGCCTATCCACCAGCCACCACACTGGAAGATGCCTTTCCAGCTGAACAGCAGAGACGATAGCAGTGGGGTGATGCCAACCTGTGGAGGGATGACGTAGTCTGCGACATCCCACAGCCTCTCCCCCAGCTCCGAGGTGTTGGTGAAGGCTACTCCTTTCAGCTTGGTGATGACAGAGCTCTGGACAGATGTGTCTGTGTCCTGATAGCCTTTCTTGACAACAAACACCCACCTGTGAAGAACACAGCAGGCAGCAGCATTAGCAAGTGGGGTGAGGGAACAAATTAGCCAGAGAAGATTTACACCAACGCCAAACACCGTTCAAGGGCAAATCAAAACATGCCAATGACACCAAACCCTCTGCAAGTACTACTACAAATTTTGAATAAACTCTTTGACACAAGCTGTGCTTATCTGCAGCGCTGGAGGAAGAGTCAGGATGAAGACCTCACATGCAGGGAAAGGTGTAAAAACTGGTCATGGGGTAAAAAACCAAGACTCCTGCCTCCCTGTCCTGTGCTACGCTCAGCAACGTCAGTGGATAGAGGGGAAGGCAGGGCTCTGTTTTCCTCAAGATGAAAAATAATAAAAGCTTTTGCAAGTTGCAGTGAAGAGTATGGTTGGTTTCACAAATACCTGACTCGCTCCCATTTTAGCAGCCTGCCATTAGGCTACCAGTCCAGCAACAGACCATGGCTGGGGAGGTGCAACTGCTGCAGGCGAGCTGAATATTACCAACAGAAACCCGTAGGGAATATTCTCAGCTGGATACAGGATCTTTTGTAAGCCAGTGCAAAGGTAACAACCTGAGTGCACCCTGGCCTCTGTGCTGGGCTTCAGGCTTCTCACTAGCACACCTGCAAGAGCTGCTGCCTCGCTAAGCAGCCCAGAGAAAGGCTTTGCTTGCTTCTCCCCACTGGAAGCAGCAAGAGCTGGGTGAAAACCTCTCTGGCTTAAATGAAATGCTTCCAGCCTCTCCACAATACTGCCAAAGTCACCTGTCAAGACAACAAAAATCGCCCAGACTGCTGAAGAAGCTAAGGGTGCCGGGGCAGGCTGTGGGGGAGGGCCGCAGGCTGCGTTTGCTGGCACAGCTCCCCTTTGCAGTGCACCGGCCGGGAGCGCACCGCTGCACACAGAAAGCGAAAGCAGCCGTTTCTGCGGCTGAGCAGCACTGACATGTGCTGCCCTTCACCTGCTACTTGTGACAAACCTGAATAAAAACATTTGCCACCCCTGTGAAGTTTCCTACTTCCCTGTTTTTGCCAGAACGCTGGTTTTCTCTCCCAGGAGGGCTCAGAAGCAGCCCCTTAATTTTCCGCCGTGAATCAGGGAGGAAATGGCAGCTACATGCAAGATACAATCCAGAGGGGTTTGATGATCACAACCGCCGAGGCAGCCTCTGAACAGATAGGGGTATGTGATCAAGCAGACATCAGACTAACGCTAACCACCTCCGCCATAAACCGAAAGCCCTCAACCACAAAGCAGTCACCACCAGTGACCTGCCAAAAGTTTGCAGAAGGCAATAGATGCCTAGGGAAGAAAATAGCCAGTATGGCCCGGTCTCTGAACACTCGTGGTCACTGGTCATGCTATATCCCTCTTGGACGGAGGATGTGTCCTCAGCAATGTTATCTACAGGATTCCTCCTTTAGCAGCTAATACATGCCAGACTGCTGAGACTTCATCTCTGCCCTGCTAACTAAAGCAGGCTCTGGAATCGTACACCTTTCTATAAATAAACCCAGCTGTAAAAATGACTGCTATATTCGATCAGTGAAAACACGAGGTTTGAGAAAGGTGAAGGGACTCAGAAGCACAGACAGTGAGGGTACAGATTTATGAATCACATCCTCCAAAGCCTCAGAAACTCAGGAAGCAATGGCACGGGCATCACATAGGCTGGATAATTCCAGGTCTGACCCTGCAAACTGCAAGGAGCATTGCTGTGTTTGTTACATGTCAGCGTGACCAGCCTCTTGCAGAACTGGGCCTTTCTAGCTAGGTGCTCCAGCTATCTCCACGCCAACTCGCCCTGCTCTGAAATAAATGCAAGGCAGCTGACATTCATGCTGCCTCAGCCTCCACAATCCTGGCTGCTGCAGCCCACTCCAGCAAAGAAAACTGCCACTTTGTGCTTGCTTCCCTCCCATTTAGACTTGAACGTGTCATGCAGCCGTGCAGACAAGCCAGGTTTGTCCCAAGGCTCAGCAACCGTGGCCATAAATACTATTGTTTCTAATGAGTCAGGTGTTAAGGTTTGGCACCGTTCCCACCAAAAACAGAAATAAAGGCATAAATAATGCAGTACAAAGCCATAGTGCCTTTTGATCTATTTTTAACCCAACGTTAATCTGGAAGGCAGAGCTGAATCTAGCAATCCCTAGCAGGTGAAAAATCAGATATAATCTATTAGATGTTACAAAATCCAGCTGTATAAACAAGCATAACTATCTGCATTAAAATCATAAGGCATAGCACGCTGTCACTGTATGCAGAGTATCCTACATTAATCTTCATCACAACACAGCAAGCAAACACAACCGCAGCAGTATGTGAAATGCAGGGTGATTCTTACCCCACCAGGTAAGCCAGGATGGAGAGCTGCACCACTCGATAGAGAATCCCCACCTTCTTGTTCTTCGCAATGACGTATTTCTCTGTTTTATAATCAAAAAGTGATAGAAATAAACCCTTCCAAGCCACCTGCCCCATGCTCCCGGCTCGCTCTGTACCGGTGGCAGAAGCAGGCAGCAGCGTTTGCAGCTCGCATTATCCACACGTGCTCTGCATGGAAACCTGACACACCAACCCCTTCAGAGCGAGAGGCTGATCTCCTCCCTCCTGTCAGCTGCTCGCCGGCAGCAGCTCTCGGGTCGGCAACCGGCAGCTGCACTAACACGAGATCCTTCCTTAGCTGCTTTCCAGCTAATTCATCCTCTGGGGAAGCCCCCGCCTCAGTTTTGCCCCCAAGCTTCATTCTCTCCCCGACAGTCACAAAATATTTATAATAAAACATGTTACAACATGAAGCCATGTTATAGCATCCAAGGCGACAGAGCTATAGTCTCTCACTGTTACGTATTAAAGCCTTCCTTCAGCCTTTACATGATGGCAAAGCACCTGGTTAAATTTTTAATTTCTTGAGCATTTGCATGAGCAAGGAGAACTTGGGTCCCTACCAGTTATCCAAAATACCTGCCCGGTTACTACATCTTCCCACCAAAAAAACCCAACAACTTAAGGAACTAATAAATAAATTCTGCATATGGGCAAGGGATCAATCGCCATTACATCTCACTAAAATGCACAGCGAGTGCTGAGCTAGGCACATAGATATAGAACATCATACCATCTGATGAAATACCAAAGGGAAAGTAACAGTTTAGCCCTCACTGAGATAAGAGTTGTTTACCAGCCGGTAGTGCAAGAAATGACTCCCAGTCTAACAGAGAGAGGCAATTGCATGTGCAAGGACATGAACTGATCGTTACTTAAACCAAGAAGGGTGGACGCTGTCTCCTGGCTAAGGAGGGAACAGAACGAGCTCCGAGGTGGAAAATGAAGTAAGCCGGGAGCTTCCAGCAGCCTGGCTAATTAACGTACCTCACCAAGAGGAGATCCAGCAGCAAGCTGGGATCCAAACTGGAGCGTGCCCTTTCCGGAGGGATCCCGTACCTGTGCACCGACGGGAGATGTCTCCCACGGGGGTCTTCTGGGATGGGGCTGCTCACAGGTTGAATCTATTAGAGCGTCTGTCAGAGACACAAGGTGGTGTGTATCAGCTATACAGTGCAGGGTTTACTGTGTTCACCCATGAGCACCCAATTAGCTTACACCTGAGCACCCAATTAGCTCATGGGGCTTTGTCAGGACTGGGAAGGCGCTTGAGATTAAACAGTATGCAACCGTGGAACACGCTTGAACACAGGTCAAGAGAGCGGGTCACGCAATGGAGGCAGCAGGCGGTGCAGCGAGGTGGCCTGCCCCAGCACACACCCCCCTGCCCTGCCCAACTTCTCTTCCCAGGGAGAATCATTCTCAAGACCTTGGGTTTTATGAAAATTTTATCCTTCATCCTCCTTAAATTCCAGATCAAATTTAAACAGATGGATCAAATTTTTAATGACTATGTGACGAGGCTGCTCCAAATCACAAGAGAATCACAAACAGTATAATGATGAACAAAACACTATCCTCAAAATACCTCATTTTGTCCCTCATCCCACAGCCATCCCTAGAGTTTCCTTCTTCAAAGCGAAAAAAAAAACCTTTCTCCAGCAACTGCAAAACTAGAACAGAAATGTGTCCGTGGCCTCCTTTTAACCCAGCGGCTGCTGCGCTCCCCAGCCCCAGCCCCAGCCCCACGGCGGGCAATGGCTTCAGCACCTGGCTCTTTCATGAGGGGCTCCTGGGGTGACGGGCAGGCTGCCGAGGGAGCGAGCCCCCCGCTCCCATGCACCCCCCTGCTCACTCCTCTGGCTCGGGGTTAGCCCCAAACCCGCTCCCAAACTCTGCAGCCGCCCTTCAGCCTCAGCACAAGCAAAGGGCTGGTCTTGCTCACCTCTCCCACTCCCCATGTCCCCTCCTTTCCCTATCTGCACACCCCACACGGGCAACCCCACTTTATCTCACAAAACACGTTGGCTGCTCCCCGGACCCCTCTGGGAGCCCTCTTTCTCACTCAAGCAGCTGCTACTCATGGTTTCCGTCTTCCTCAAATGATATTTGGCCATTGTATCCACCTCTCCTTATCAGATGCCTACAGACCAGATTATCACTAGTTCCAGTCTTAAAGATCCTCTGTGTGAAAGCCTGAAGCACAAATAAAAACTCAAAACAGATCATAAACAAAGGAGTCAAAACCCTCCAAGAAAACACACTTCTGTAGAGAGGAAGGAGACCACAGTGGTCCATGAGGCCAGAAATGAGTAAGGAAGAAAGGTAGGCTCAGCCTATCTTCCCTTGCCACTGCCCGGACCCCAGCCCAAGCTGGGGCTGGGCACAGGGAGACTGACGCAGCTCCAGGAACCAGAGCTGTATGGAGACAGGAGCATCCTAAAGGATCCACCACCTGATCTTCCGCCCGGTCTGCTCCTAGATGAGACACTGCAAGCGCAAGCCGCTGGGTGACAGCCGCGCATCGTTTCTGATCATGGGTCTGGTCCCACACGAACACCAGCTGCTTGCCCTGGCCCTGCTGGAACTGCTCCAGGGACAGGACTGAGCAGAGGGTATATCCCATGGCTCAGGACCACCTCCACCATTGCTCCTGCTGCACTAAGGACACCCAAGTTCATGGACAAACGAAGTATCAGTGGAGTCAAGTCAGCCCTTGGTGGTGTCCAGAGACCTCTCCCTCCATCCCCATCTTCCTCATCTGTCTGGATGACTGCACAGGCTAAAATCAGACCAGGAAACCTGCTAGCAGTTAAATAGTGTCTTGCCTCCTGGCCTAGTTTTACTTACTGGCACAGACATAGGTCTGCTATGAGTTTTTGCAATTATTTTCCTGATCAATTAATGCAAGAAAGGATTCACACAGGTTAGAAAAAATTTTACTTAAGAGTGAGAAGTGTTCCTGTAATAGGTGTGACCTGAAGGTGTAAACAAGATTTGATCACAAAAAAAAAAAAAAAAAAAAAGAGAAAAAAAAAATATTCTTCCCCTGCCTCTCTCTCCTTCTGCCTGCCCTTGGATTTGTTTAAGCGGAGCCGTGCAGAAACAAGTCTAGTTTTAGAAGAAAGACAAGAAAAAATTACAATCACTTAAATCTTGAATAAGACTGCTATAAGGAAGCCAAAGGATGTGCACGAAAGAGTGAAAAAAAAATTTTAACAAAAAAAAAAAAAAAAAAAAAAAAGGATGTAAAACTGATACTTTTCTTGGTTTTTAGAGCCATCAAGTAGAAGCACAGTTGCAATAGTTGTTTTTGAATAAAAAGCTTCAGTTTCTATCAAATGTTCCTCAGACTATTCTGAATACTGCTCAGCACAGGCTAGATTTGTGCTGACAACAGTGCTTTTTGGCATCCTCTTGCAGGTATTGTTCTTAGCACCTCCAGTTTTCACAATCTTTTTTTTTTTTTTTTTTCTTGCCTGCACACCAAGATTACCGGTGTTTTTCTCAAAGTATCTTTGGGTTGTTCAAACATAAGCAGTTTCATTCCTGGGGGCGGGAGGAAGTAAATAACCTAACAAAATCTCGTCATCATTCATTAGAGACAAAAACCCAGCAGTTTCTCTTAGTCCTTCTCAAGGGACTGAGGATGGATCTCTTCTGCAAGATATCTCCCTTCTTGAGTCCAACATTTTGAATTTCCCATGGAAAAAAACAGTTCTGCTCCCTTCCCATGAGGGCTATTTGCTCAGTCTGAAAATTCTCACAGGGAGGATTTCTCCTCCGTACCAAAATGCTCCCTTTCTCACTCTCTTTTTTTATTCCTGACATGTTACACCTATACATAACTCCTCACACTGCTCTCAGTAATTGCTTTCTCATTACTCACAGGCAGTCACAGGATACACATCCCTGTCCGCCCAGACTGCTCCTCACCTACATTTCTCTCCGCCTGTCAGTAGCTCCTTGGTGTTCAGCTGCCCCAGAGCTGAACTCAGCCCAGTCACGAGCCCATAAATGCCATGTAAAGGGACTGTGCAAATTAAACTTTAAACCCCTGCTCTGAGACAATGGCATTTGAAGCACAGCGAGGTCACATCTGTCTCTCTACAGCATTGTAGCGTAGAAACATTTCAAGTTTAGCCCAATAACATCTTTAAATTGCACCCAAAAGAGACCACGTTTCCCAGGCGATGGCAGACAGCCCTGGCCAGTACAGGCGTGACTCACGAGTGACGGCTGGAGGTGCCCGTTTTATGCACTTGTGTTCGCTTCCAGTTCCAAACGATCACCCCCAGGCACTGATTGCCTCAGTGATCCCCACTCCGCCCTTTACAGAGCTATCAAAACACTGGCTCCCGAATGCATGACTCATAAGATGCTGAGACATTTCTGAAGCACTGGAAATGCTCCTGCAGCAAATGCCTGAGTGATGCAGATCCATCATCCTTTAGAAACAGGCGCCAGACCAGCTACTGAAATAGAAAAGAGACAAGGAGCAGAGGATGTAAATCGGAGATAAACTATTTTGGCAAGGAAATGAACAGTGGAAAAGGCAGAGGTCAGCTCTCCCCCTTAGTGCTTTTTTCTCACAGTATCACACCTGTAGGTTATCTAAAAGAAAACCCAAGGGGAAGAGTTGAACAGGTTGAAAGAGGAAGTTGCTTTTAAACCACAGCTCATGCACATGGAAACACCATGAAATCAGCAACATCAAGCATAAGCTGCTTTCCGAAGATGATGGGTTTGGATGCAAAACCAAAGAAATGTGTGTGCAGCCTGCAGTGAGAAACGGTCCGTTCGGCATCTCTTTTAATCCTCGCTGTGACTTTGCAGTGTAAATAAGAAGTAGGTTGCTACTTGCCAATGAAAAATTGACAAAAATCAGCCTCGGTATTTGTCCTCCTAACTAGCACCCCTGCACACCCAGCCACAACGGAAAAGGAAATCTTTCTTTCAGGAGCTATGAGAAAAACATTCAGATTTTTTTTGCCTAGAAAGGGAATCTGTGGAAAGAATCTTTCTATCATTATCCATAGGAACATCCAAACCTGTCTGGAGGAGTGAGAAACGGAAGTGTGCTGAAGTTCCAGAAT